TTGTGCGATGTTTGAGTGCCTGCCTGTGTTTTCAAAACAAACAAAAACTATCAAATTACACACATCTTTCCACAACATATCATAACATGGTTCTGTTATCCATACTTGTCCATCATCTAGGCCACATATCGTTTTCTTTTTGCCACACAAATCACTTCCGCAAACGATGATGATGACCGAAAGATGTTTTTGTCTTGCTTTGTTTCGAATCTTAGGCGCACTCGGTGTTCATTTGCAAATCCCAAACTTACTTAAAACTAATTCCCAAATCCAATGGTATTCTAATAATGTTGAGTAATTTATTTAAATGTACAGCGCCCTAGGATTAGAAGGCGGCAGTAATGAAAGTGCACATATACATATGTATGCATGTATGTCGGTATATTGGTGTGTGATGTTCATCTTGTGGTAATTTTTCATAGTCCAGTTTAAATTATAATTTTTTTAAATCCCATTCACAAATCCTTGCTTATTCCCGTGTGAGTGTGGTTTAGAGAAACATCTTGAGTTCATGAGAGAATGTTGTTGTCATTTTCGGCAGAGAACCTTTATTATATGGTTAGATCGTTTTTCGATAATATCTGACTGTAATAATTAAATATTGCAATATTTAAACAATCAACAGTTGAAAAGATAACATATAGGGCTTAATATAAAATTATATGCGGACCCTTTTCTAACCATTTTTATTACCAGATAAAAGAAAAAAAAGAATGCTTTTAAGTTCGTACGAGCCGGACCCTCCAACACTGAGTTCCGCTTTCAAAATACCCAAAACCACTCGGGGATCCTTTATGATGTGGATACTAAAATATCGGATAAGAAAATTAAATGTTAGAAAATTCGGCTGGGATCTTGAAAAATGAAGCAAGACTTTTATATGGAGTCGAAACTTTGCTCATTCGTTTAGTACCCACCGACAACCTTAGGCCAAGTAAATACCTAAAATGTGAAGGAACACTACGCGGCTTTGCTTTGCACACAACAATTGACAATGTCATGTATCATAATATTTATTCAGTTCTATAATATTATAAACTTTAAAATAAAGTTCAGCTAACGCAGAACGCGCACCATTTACTAAGTACAAATAAATTCGGAAGATCAACATTGTCTGGCATGAACAAATGTTTTAATTTTGGTAATTATTCTTTGTTTAAAATGTCTCAGGGGATGCCCCATCAATGTTTTCGAAACATATGTTGTTCTTCTGTTCGAAAGAACACGATATCAGCATCATAATGCACGTGATTAGATTACGGAATTAGAAACGCAAAATGGAAGTGACTAATAACTTTACGTTGTTTGGAGGTGCCAGAAAGAGTGAATCTGAAGGCTTCATCTTCGGACCTGTTCTAGGCTCTCCATAAATGTGTAACGTTTTGGTGTAGTCCCCATATAAAGGTATCACCACCATTTTTTGTAATTCTTCCTGGCAAAACTTTTCAAAATTGGTCAACATTTTACGATGGCTCCCATATAGCGTGACCCCCACATTTCCGGTATTTCGGGGATTTTTCGTACGTTTTTAAACCAAATTGGCTGCAATTTAGTATTTTGAGTTTTTAATTGGTGGCACATCTTCCTACCAAGAATTACTAATTTTCGTCAATTTTTTAAGATATCCCCCATATGACGGTACTTCTTAAGTGTTGGTATTTTGGGCAGGGGTTTCAACCAAAAAGACTGTAAATTGATATTTTGAAATCAAATAGGGTAGCAAATCTTCCTACAAAAATGGTCGATATTGTTTCACATTTTAAGATAGTCCTCATATATATATTAATATTATGTTTTTGCAAAATAGTCAGGCTTAATCCCAGTTTGTTGTTTTTATAAAAAGCCACTATTTATTAGTGGGGAATGTATGGCATTGTCCGCCGAAGGGTAAGGCAGGGAAGACTATGATTTCGGATCTCGCCACTGATCCTCATCAGTTCCCTTAGTTTTTTGTTGGGATATTCTCCCCAGAAGCTATTAATAGCTTCTTTACAAAAAAAACCTTTCAAACCCAAATGTCTCTTGTGACAAGTTGTGCGAAGTTCTTATGTTACCAGCGATACGACCCCAATGAGAAGTTCGTTTCGTTGGCGCCTGACTTCGTGGTCAACAAGGCATTTACAGACAACTACAATACATTTCCCACTGCTATGTGTCGTCAGGCGCCAACGAATTGCTGCAATCCGTATAAAAGCAAAGTTATTCTACACCAGTCTTATTTGCGTCATGCCCCCAAATATATTTTTTACGAGCGCCTAAAAACAGCATATGACTGCTGTCCTGGCCATGGTATTAAAATTCTGCAGAAAATTTAGTCTTCATGAAGAAACATAAGACAGCGGCATGAGGTTGATTGACTTCGCAGCAGCTCAGGATGGCATTCATCCAGTGTTTTAGACGTTCGATTGATATCAGGAATCGATACGAATATCGATTCGGATCATTAAGTTGTGGTAGCCAAGATTCGCACCCGTCTTAATGTAACACGGAAACTCGACGTCGAAAAACTGCAAACACAACAGATAGGTGAAGCTTACTCCGCTCAACTTAATCACCTGCATGTCGAAAGCACTCCTTGTCCCGATAATAATGTAGAATCACAATGGCAAAGAATTGTCCACTCTCTATAAACTGCAGCAAAAGCAACGATTGGGTACCAAAGACCACCATCAAGAAACCCATAGTACTATCAGAAGTCTCGTAATGCTACTGAGACGAAAACCCCAACGTATAAGGCAACCCTTCACACTGTAGAAACGCGTAATGCGATGGAGAATTATCGGGAAGAAAGGAGAAACGTAGTTTATCTAAAAGGAAAGAAAGACGTGAGCGGGAGCAAATGGAGATGTACAGGAGTAAGATCGAGTAAAATACGAACTGAAAGCTTTGGTGCAGGCACATCTTCCTATCGAATTTAAGAAGTAAACGGGGTGACAGATACAGACCGCGTGTTGAGGATCTGAAAGAGCATTTTGAAAAGTTTCTTGTATCAAATAGTGGGGGTGAAGAGATACCCCAGAACCAATAAGAGATGACGGTATAGATTGTATACCACCTAGCCAAGATGAGGTCAGAATAGCAGTCAATGGACTGACGTATCATAAAGTAGTAGGTGCCGATGGGTTACCAGCCGAACTATTCAAGACTGGGGGGCAGATGCTGAAATGAGACATTACGATATTAGGCAATCATAGAGGAATTAGTCTCCTTCCCATCGCATATAAAGTGCTATCCATCTTGTTGTTTGAACGACTGAAACCAAAGGTAAACGACATTATTGGATCGTACAAATGTGGATTTAGACCTGGCAAATCCACCATAGACCAGATTTTCACACTGCGCCAAATTATGAAAAAGACCCACCTATATATCGACACATTTCACCCATTCGTCGACTATAAAGCCGCATTCGACAGCTCAATCCACTCAGAGATTTTTAAAGCCATGTCAGCGTTTGGCATTCCTGCAAAATTAATTCGGCTATGCAGGATAACTTTAACTGTCACAAAAATAGTCGGAAGGGACCTCTCGAAGCCCTTTAATACCAAACGAAGATTCAGACAAGATGACAGATTGTCGTATAACCTTTTTAGCATCCTGCCACCTTTGAACAAATTGAGAAGGAGTCTGCTAAAGTGGGTCTGACAGTAAATGACGAGAATGCCAAGCTTATGGTATCAAATCTTAAGACGTTCAGTAGACTCGGACCAACTGTGGAACTTGAGAACTACAGATTCGAGGTAGTCAAAGAATTTATATACCTTGGTACCGCCATAAAGAAAGCTAATGACATCAATTTTGAAATTCGGAGGACAATAGTGTTGGCCAACAGATGCTACTATTGTCTGAGCAAGCAATTTAGAAACAATGCCACCTTTGGCCAGACCAAGTTGCACCAGTTATAAAAACTATATGGAAGCTACATGTGAATCTGAACTGATTTCAACAAAAGTTAGCACTCAATATGGTACACTGTGCAAATTATGACTCAATCGGTCAAATTTGAGAGTTTGATGCACCATTAGCATAAAATCGTTCGAAAATATATATGTGCGCTTTTTTATTTACTTGAATTTTGCCTGTAAAGGCGATGATCATTTGAATGAGTTTCAAGTCAGTCTTTTTTTCAAGTCATGCTTATTGATCGAAATTTTACAATGAAAAGGAAAGTCAAGAGAAGAACCTTTAGTTTCTCGTAGGTTTAAGCGGCTCATGAGGCATATTTGGTTATGTTTCGATTTCAACAAAACTCAATACACGACATTGTAGGCTCAATTCTGTTCGCCGCATGGTGGTCGAAATCATCGATTTAGCGGCGCGATTGTCAAAATCTGTACGGACTTAGACCAAAAAAAGTATAGATGTATGATTCATCATCAATCACGCAACTGTGGCACAATGACATAGTCTCCACAGAAATGTGCCGACCTCATCATCGTGCTCTCTTGTCGTGATATTCCATGTCTAAATCTTAACGAGTTTATTCCATTTTTTCACAAATCAACACAATACATGGTCTTTTAAATTTGTTTAAAAAAAATATTTTTAATAAAATATTTATATATTTTTTATAGACTCAATTTTTATTAATACTAAAAATTATATTAAATAACATAAATTTATACATATTTACATTTTAAATTTAATAAATTTAATTTAAAAATGAAACAATTTTATTATCTCCAATTCAGTATCTCAGAGAACTGAGACTTGATGTTCTAATGGTCGTTAATCGAACCTTGGCGAAGACCACCGTGAAATAGGCCCTTGAATAGACGTTATTTTGGTCATGTATTCAATGGCTCACCTTTAATCCGTAACGATGTCGAATACATCCAAAGACAATCCAATTTCATTAGAAATTCGTTTTAAAAATATTCCACAGATATTTCGAGCCCGGTATTCTGGAACAGCAATAACCCAGAAATCGGTTAGTTCCATCTTTATATTTTGGGGAACATTATGGACCCATTTGTATCCTTAAACCGCTTTAGTTTCCATTAAACAATATCGATAACATCTTCCGGCTCGGGACTGGAGGCATTCGAAGATAGCGTAGAGTCATATGAAGATTCTTCTTTTTCGCGTCGATCACGTCTCTCACGAGCACGACGATTTTGAAACCATATCTTGACACGAGTATTGGTTAGATCCAATGAATCGGCAAGTTTATTGGCATCTTCGGCGCTCAAATAATTCGAAGCTTTATAGGCACTTTCCAAAGCTTGTAATTGAGCGGGTGTAAAGGGTATGCGTGGCAGGCGACCGGGTGTGCGTTTGGCTGGGCCCTGGCGTAGAGATCCTTTTTGAGGGAAAAATATAAAAAATAATTAGTAAAATGTCTCATAATGTTCCCAGCAATTTGTGTAAAACCTACTTTGCAACTTTGGTGGGTGATAACGGGTGTACTGGAGCCAATCCAAGACGGGTATTTGGTCCAAAAAATGTTGCTGTTGTTGTTGCGGCTGCTGTTGCTGCATTTGATCTTGCTGGGGACTAAGTCGCAGTTGTTGCTGTAGTTGTAATTTTTGCAATAATTCCAATTGTCCTTCATGACCTTGCAAATTGATCATGTAGGGATGATAGTGTGAGGTGTTCCGCTCACGTCGCATAACACCCAGTGAACCATTGGTACCGGCATATTTATCACCGGCTCTATTTAAAATATATTCAATACTGAAATCGCTCATGTTTGCAGTTTTTCTCTTTTTTTCTATTTGAGTTAGAGATCCTTATTCGTGGAATGCTGAATTTGCACTGTAACAATGTTGCAAATTTGGTGTTTATTTAAAGGATCTTTTTTCTCGTTCGCCATCAGCATCGTCCTCTTTGGAAAGAGGACTCCATTTTTTCCTAAACGATTTTCTCTTTCTAACTTATGGCGGATTTTTGATATTTTCTCTCTTTCACTCCCCTGCTTCTCTTGAAAATGTATCTCATTGTTAGATTTGCTGAACCGTTTAATCCATTATGTTGTAGTTTGTTGTTGGTTTTCTTGTTATGCCTCCGAAAGCAATGGGCGTAAACATAGCCTCTGTACAAATTGCTACCACAAAATTTGCCAAAACCACCACAACAACAACATCGATAATTGCAGTTAGGCCTTTATCTCGTTTAGTGATTTGTTCATTCATCCTTTCAGGTAGTTGAGCATTGAGAATGAACGGTCATGAATGATAACCGCCAGACAGTGGATTCTGGGGTGATTGTTTAGAGGAAGAGGGGTTGATTAAATTATTGTTATTTATATTAGCCAAAAATTCACGGAATGGTTGCACATCGTAACTGAGTTTTTAGAGATTTTCCAAGAAAAAATTATGTCAAAACACGAAAATTAATTGACAAGTATCTGCTAGATTGTCTGATATCGCAAAATACTAAATTAGAGGCAAAATCGTGAAAATCGGTTCAGATTTAGTTATAGCTCCCATATATGTTTTCGTCCGATTTTATGTAAATGGTGTACCAAAGTCCCTATATATATCTTTAGATTAGCACTAAATTTGGCATAGAGTACTAAATTAAGTCTAAAATGATGTGTGCTAAGTTTCATAAAAATCGTTTCAGATTTCGATATTACTTACTTAGATAGCTTGTGACAGAACTTTCGTTCCATAAGCCAAGCTTAAAAAAATTTCCAGGCGCGTCGGTCTTTTGCGCAGTTTTTCCAATTTTAAAGACCATGTTCGGCAATGTTGTCTTTCACTGAATCTTTCCATCTAATTCGTGGCCTTCCCCTTCTACGTGAACCATCAGCTGGTTCGCTTTTATATGTCTTTTGAGCTGGGACATCTTCATCCATTCTCACAACGTAGTCGCTGCATCTCGATACGTCTAACAATGACGATGTCCGAGAATAGAAGGTACAACTCATGGTTCATTCGACGGCGATATTAACCATCAACGCAGATCGGTCCATTGTTCTTTCGGAGAATTTTTCTCTCAAACACTCCAAGAGCTGCCTCATCTGCTTGCGTAAGTACCCATGCTTCAGAACCATATAACAGCACGGGTAGTATCAGCGTCTTGTAGAGTGTGAGTTTGGTCTGGCGGGAGGTGGCCTTGCTTTGAGCATCCATAATAGCATCGGTTGGCCAACTATATCCTTCTCCGAATTTCAAAACTGAAGTCATTCGTTTTATTTATGGCGGTACCAAGGTATATAAAATCGTTGACTACATCGAAGCTATAGATCTCAAGTTCCACAGTTGGTCCGAGTCTACTGGACGTCTCGCGCGTTGATACCATCAGCTTGGTCTTCTCGCCGTTTACTGCCAGACATACTTTGGCAGACTTCTTCTCAATTTGTTCAAAGGTGGTTACCGCTCTCAATGTTCGACCCATTATGTCGATGTTATCGGCGTAGGCGAGTAACATGTGTTGTTTAGTGTACAGAGTTCCATTTCTCTTCACCTTTGCGTCTCGTATGAGCTTTTCCTGCAGAATGTTAACATGATCACACGACAAACTGTAACCTTGTCTGAATCCTCGTTCGGTATTGAAGGGCTCCGATAGGTCCTTTTCGACTTTAAGTGCTGACCTTGTGCCACTTAAAGTTATGCTGCATAGCCGTGTTAGTTTTTCAGGAATGTCGAACGGAGACATGACTTTAAACACCTCTGAACGGATAGGGCTGTGGAATGCGGCTTTATAGTCGACAAATAGGTGGAATGTATCAATGTGTTTTCGTGGGGGTTTTCAAGGATTTGGCGCAGAGTGAAAATCTGGTCAATTGTGGATTTTCCAGGTCTGAAGCCGCATTGGTATGGTCCAATTATGTCATTTACAATCGGGTTCAGTCGTTATTCCTCTATAGTTGTCGTCGTCTTGTCTCATTTTTTTGTGCACGGGACACAGGATGCTGAGGTTCCAATCTTTCGATATATAGGTTTAGATATAGCTTCCATATATATTTTCATCCGATTTCATTTAAATGTTGTACCAAGTAACTTAAGTTTGTCCGATTGGGACGAATTAATGCACAACGTACCAGGTGGAACCTAGAATAACTTGTATTGGATTTTATGTCGAGATAAATTTTTGGATAGCGCACTGTGCTGCAGGATACCAAATGGTGGGTGCACGGATGCTTAAATATGTCCATTTATATATAGCTCACATACGTATTTTGCTCAACTTCATACAAATTATTGAATTCAAATGTTCATAAATTTCCGAATGGTATGTTTATGGGTCGTTTTAATTTAGTTCAAATATATTTGTACTTTACACAGTAGTTTCGTCGGGGTCCATTTTAATTGTAATAAAAAATGCTCGACCTCGACACTAGACACTAATTCCGTAGACCTCATTAAATACCCAATTTACAAAGAAATTGCCCAATATGAAGGTCCAGCCCGCTTTAATGAAATTTCGGAATAACAAGTCTAATAAAATACCCGGTCGAATGCGGCGAAATTTTACTTGTCTATGTTTTGAAATAGTCCCATACCGTAATTTTTAAGTTAATAAAGCCGAATTATTCCCTATATCACACTTCATGTTGGTAAAAAAAATCAGATGAATATCACTTTCACACACTGATTTAGAAGCTATAGAAGTTCCTCTGTTCCTTGTAGGGTGTGAATAAATTGAAAACCAAAATGCATTTTCTGCTAAATCGATATTAATATTTATTCCGGTCTAGCAGCAAATGAGCCATATAACATTATAAATGTAAATGTTCATCTTCTTCCTCACAGAATATTTTCAATATGAGCCAATGTTGTGGGTTATATAAATGTCTCGAGCATTTTGGACATTTTTTGTGGTCCTTGGCGCATTTTTTTAAGTCCATATTATTAGAGATCTCTCCTAATTTTTGGTATGTTGAATGTCCAAGTCCACTTTTCGCACATATATGTCGGTAATATAGCATTTCGTTTTCTTGGAGGAAAAAATATGACATATCATACAGGGTCCCAACAGATTTTAGACATATAAAATGTCCACTCATGTTGCGCGTTTTTTTACTTGTTATATTGTAAACCAACAAAAGTTATTTAAACAAAACACCCGCAAAATATAAAGCCGACAATGATAAACAAAATTGAAACATTTTTTTAACGTCAGGCAACTTTTATCTTCCGAATTTATATGTGCTTAGTAAATAGTGAAGAATATTTCGTAGTTGAAATTAGCATAACGCTAATGAAATGGAACGTAGACTTTATTTTTTCGTTGGTCTAAGAAACAATTACAATCCGAATATAACCAATTCTTCACTGGGGAGGCGATCTAACCTACTAATTGCAATGGGTGATTTAATAATGATCGGTTTGGCAAAATAACAAAATTTGAATTTTATGTACCCTCTGGGAAAATATGATTCCAAAAATTTGCAAGGGAAAAATCTTTTAGCTTGTAATCGGTCAAGTGGGTTGCAAATATCGTGATTTTTTGCTCATGCTAAAAATACAGATCCGAATTGTCTATAATTTGATAATTATTTGTCTCATTGGGTAGTAAATCTTTTTCAGGTATTGAAAAACCATAGAACCCATATAAGGGTTCCTCAGCATTCAGAGTATTTTTAGGCGCAATTTCCAATCGAAGTGGCTGTAATTTTTCACAGATCTGTCTTTGGTATGTTGAATATCTTAGCTGAATTTGCCATGTTTTAATTTTCCTACCTGCAATTTGGTACATAATATTTACAAAAGTTTATCCTGGATCCATGATTTTAATTTTCCATCGAAAGGAGGATAAATGAGTAAACATTTTGCACACAAATTATTGAAACAGCACCGCTTCTTATGACTTTTGGATTCGAATGTTTTTTTTTATTATGGCTGATAATATTCCTGTGAAAATTTACTGCTCCAATTTTCGTCTTCCCACTTACATTCCCTGCCGCTACGGATACATATAAGACCGAAAACATCTTAGCAGAAGGCTTCTGTTCTGTTCGGCTGTGAGGAGAGTATTATTCCTTGAGGACCAGCTAAAACTAAAGTCACAGCAGGCACGCTTTCTGCCCTCTTGCTCGAACACTTAATGGATTTTGATTTCGTACTGTGGTTAACCATTGTCGCCACCTTGGAAAAGGTCTCGGCATGGCTAACCACTGTACGCGAGGAATTCTTGTGATTAGAAGTTCCTTTAAAACTTTTTTGATAGTCTATTCCCTAATACCTCGCATTATTTTAGAGTGTTTCCTCCTCGGTTATTCAATTTGAGGGGTTTCGACATACCGTTCGCAACACTTCGTTACGCCTTTCTGACCAATACGTATTCGGTTTTCGCTCTTTCGGTTGTGGAAGTCGGCCGGGGGGTTGCCAAAATAGTTTTCGAGCTTCCATTCGGAATTCCCATCTCCACAGTGTCTGTTAGATTGTGAAGTACCGGTCTACCGACTGTTGTTGAAAATATCGAATTATGCGTCATTTTGACATTAGCATCCTGTCTAATAGAGGTGGAGACTTTAAATACCATGTTTTTCTCCTCGTCCGGAATACTTCCCGAACTCAGACGAAAATATGAATATTCCTCAATTAGAATGAACAGGGACTCACTCTGTCTTATAATACGGAAACGATGTTAAGTAAACAAAATATGTCTGTACCCGCAGTCTTAATGGCCTGGAATGTTTCGGAGTCCACGATTTTGATGTTATGGGTAAAGTTCCTGTTCGAAGCCGTGGCAATATTTGGGATTTTCGCTCTTATGACAATGGGGATTGAGTAAGAAGAAGTT